ACCGGTAGCGGCCGGGCGGAGGGCCGAGGGCGGAGGTTCTCCCGCGCGCGACCCCGCTGGCTGCAGCCCTGCCCCGGGCTCGCGGTGCGCGGGCGTGCGCTGCTTTGCCGGTGGTGAGCACCTGCTGCATCTGCCCTTCTAGGGTTCCCCTTACCTCATACCTTATGCGCACCGATAAAGGGCATCTCAGTAAAGTCTGGGGCAATTCATTCACTCATTCATTCACTCATTCATTCATTCATTCATTCATTCATTCACAATACTGCAAGTTCTTTGAACTCACCTGCTGTGGCTGCATTGCGAATGTCCTTTCGCTTTTCCTGCTTGTGCTGTCGCTGTACGCTAATGAATTTCACCCGGTGATTTATGACACTGCACGTCTGCCTTTCAGTTCTTTCTTTGCTGGAACAAGGACCTGTCCAGGCTGAGCTGACCTCTGGCCTCCCTCGGGGACGGGATGTCCCTCTGCCGCTCTCCTGGTAACACGGCCAGTGTGACAAAGTGCCCTAGGCTGTGCGACTAAAGCATAAATTTGAGGCTCGGTTATAAGAGCTAGAAATTCAAAATCAAGGTGGGTTCGTCCCTTCTGAGGCTGTGAGGAAAGTGTCTGTTCCAGGCCCCTCTCCTTGGTTTGTAGACAGTGACTTCTCTCTCTGTCGTTTCACACGAGCTTCCTTCTATGGGTGCCCTGTATCCAAATTCCCCCTGCTGTAAAGGCATGGGTCATACTGAATTAAAATCCACCCCAATGTCCTCATTGTAACTTCGTACCTCTGTAAAGATGCTGTCTCCCATCAAAGTCATATTCTGAGGTACTAGGGGTTAGGATTTCACATAGAAATAGGGTAAAACAACCCATAATACCACATCAAGATACAGATCATCACAGATACAGGTAGCGGACACCTCTTAATAAAGCCTGAAAGTGACAGGATATTATTGTCAGATATCTCACTTTTGAACAGTTTAAGGTAAAATAATGTCTCATGAGTCTTGCATTACCTAATAATTACTAACATTATTCTGTGTCTCAGAATAAAAATCTTGGGACAAGAAGACTGTCCCGGTTGTCTGGGTAAGTTTGACATGATCAATTAGTCCAGATAAGAAATAATCAGAAAGCAATCAAAGGACAAGGCAATTCAGTGACAAGACAGGGAGTGGAGTGATGAATTTTGAAGATGAAGGAAGGGGCCGCAAGCCAAGGATACAGACAAGGAATTGGATTTTTCCCTTAAAGCCATTAGAAAAAATGAGCCCTGAGAATGCCTTGACTTTAGCCTATGAATTAACCACTTTTATGCTTTGGCTTCTAGAAACACAATAAGAGAATTTTTGTTGTTGTTGTTTTAAGTCACTAAATTTATAATAATTTTAACGCAGGAGAAAGCGTTTAATCATAGGGGTTAATGAATAAGGTGTGAAGGCTGGTGGCCAAAGGAAGACAAGACAGTCTTCTGGAGACAATCATTTCACCAACCTCATCCCACTCCAATGTTTGAGGCAAAAATAGAAAGGTCTCAAGCCTGACTGTGTGACCACACCTCATTCTGTTCTTTGTTTTAGACAAAACCAGGAAGGTTCTGAGCTGGTTTAAGCCTATTTTACCCCAGAGAGCTGATGGAAGGTGAATGAGATCCTCATTTACATGTTAAAGAGAGATACTCAATACAATGGAGTATTACTCAGCTATAAAGAAAGACAAACTAGAGGCATTTATAGGTAAATAGATGCAGCTAGAGACCATACTCATTAGTGAAGTAAATCAGATTGACATGTGTAAACACCGTATTTCCTCCCTACTATAAGAACCTGAAAGAGTAAATAAAATCTGAAAGGTACAATAGATATTGTGAAACGAGAAAGAAACTGCTCAAATAGGAAGGAGCAACTGGGAAGAAGGAGGGGAGACGAGAAAGAAAGAAGGGAGAGGAAAAAAATATGTATATATATATACACAGGATAGCTAGGATAATTGTACTACTAATATCTTTTGGGTTTTTTTTTTTTTTTTTGGTACCAGGAATCGAACTCATGACCTTGCACTTGCCAGGCAGGCGCTGTGCCGCTGAGCTAAATCCCCAGCCCCTCTTTTGGCTTATTGAAAGGAATTGTTAATGGGTAATTGTTTGATTAGTCTTGCATGCCTATATCTGGTTATCTGTGCAACCATTTTGAAGATAGCATTATGTAATGTAACAACCATTGTTAATATTCTATCACCATGTTTTGAAATTCTGTATCATTTTTATTGTTCTCTTTGCTGTTTTGTTTATGTATTTGTTTTTGATATTTTGTTTTTTTTCTTTTCTCTTTAAAATGAAAAACAAAATTTATCTGTATATACAAGGACAGCTGGGATCGGTGTATTGCTGATGTCTGTGGTTTATTGAAAGGAACAGTCAGTGCTTAAAATTTTCCTTTTTCTTGACCAATTTCGCACCCTGGAATCTGGTAATCAGAATGATTGATCTGAAAACAATATGCAGTATAACAACCATTGTTGAACTCCTACCATGTCGTATGGTGAAGCTCTGCATCATTTCCAATTTTTTTTATTACTTGCTACTCTCTTTGATTGTTTGATCAGTCTTACATTCTTACGTCTGTTGAACTGAGCAATTTCGTTGAAGATAACAGTACGTAACGTAACAAGCATTGTTAATTCCTATCATTTTGTTTTGAGGTCATGTATCGTTTTTAATGTTTTTGTGTTGTTTTGATTTTGTCTTCACTGTTGTTTTGTTAGTTTTTTTGATCTGTAAAATAAAAAAATATTTTAAAAAGAGGGGAGAGTATACTAGCAGGATTCACACTCATGCATGTACCCTATGCAATTGCTATACAGCTTACACCCCTGCTAATGATTTTATTTTAAAAAGTATGTAATCTCACTTTACCCCATCATGGAGCTGTTCTTTCTGTGGAATAACCTCCTTTGCTCTTCCTTCTTCAGCGATTCTGTCTATGGGCCATCCTACTGCTGTACCCTGCATGAGTCTAATAAACTGTTTCTCTGTACTGTTTCCTGTTGGCTAGGTTTGCTTTTGATCTTTCAGAAGTCAATTCAAAGAACTTGTGCAGGTGATGACAATTTGTTAATGTACATTAGGCAAAAAATCCACCAAATAAACTATTTTTTATCGCTTTAGGTTTATTTGCACTTATTCCAAAATGTATTTCCTATGATTTGCCCCAGAAGTTCCCCTCCCCTTTGATTCTCATGGTTCTGATGCTGTTATTACTTTAACTGTGGGTCTCTTTCCTAAAGCGCCTCCTCCTACCTGGTCATACTTTACCTCGTTGTCCCTGCCAGGCCACAAGCGGAGCCCACACACTCCACCCCTTCTTTTCACCCTGGCTGTGGCCCATCCTGTATACATTTTGTTAAAATGTCATCCTGAACAAAGAAACTCAGCCTTCAAATACATTCGACTGAGTGAACTTTATGGGAAGGACCGATAGAACTCCCAGCTCACTCCAAGTACCGAACACAGAGCAACGCAGACCAATACAGAACATCTCTTGCTTTGGATGTTCTTGGTTTTCCTCTTCAAGGAAATATTAATGGTATATTAACGGCACCTGATGAAAATTCTCCACTGAGCACTGAAATGATACTACTTTGCTTTCTAAAATATCTTTAACCTAAACTGGAGTGAGGAAAAAGAGAAAAGAAAGAAGGGGAAATTATGTAAGTATGTATATACAGGAGAGCTAACGTAGTTGTACTACTGACTTATATTGCTTTACTGAAAGGACTAGTTAATGATTACTTATTTGATCAATCCTGATCAATCTATTTGTTTTCCTGAGAAACCACGTTGAAGATATCAATACGTAATACAACAACCATTGTTAATCTCCTACCACTTTGTCTGTAACTCTATATTGCTTGAATTGTTCTTATGCTATTTTGTAAATGGATGTCTGTTTGTTAATATGTTTTCCTTCTTTTATTTTTAAAATAAATTTAAAAAAATAAAATATCTTCAACCTAGACTTGTGCAAGAGAAATGTGGCTATGGAAAGACTGGCGTACTCACTCCAGCAGGGCTGTCAGAGGCCTCCTGGGGAAAGACTGTGGAAGACAAGAGGCC